TGCTGACCGCATCGCAAAGGCAGCAGCTCAGGTGCAAGGCCAACATGTCCATAATGAGTCCACAATGAATTCGTATGATGGGCTTCCATACCCTACAAATCCGTGACCCAACCGACCCCAAACGAAACAAGCCACGCGTGACGATCCGCGCCAAGCCGCGCGAAGATCCGGGAGGCCCACGCCACCCACCTGTGCGTGGAACGGATCGGTTGTACGGTGCATGCACCGTGCACCACCGGCAAGTGAGGATCACATCCCAAGAACCGAGAAAGCACAAATTATGAGTAACAAGTGCCTTACTAGTAGTAACAAGAAGCTATTAGAATTAAATCGAAGAATCTGTTGCTAGATGCTGCAGGGAAGTCATATATAAAATACATGTAGCCATGCAGCATCAGCAGTCTAATACAGCTGTGTGGCATCAACTCTTGAACACGCTGTGTTTCTGCTCTGGTTGCAACATACCATGAAGAACGGACAAAAACTTGGCCAAGGGCGGAACCATCCTTGCCCTGTGACCATGTCCCCTTTTCTCAGCAACCCGCCCTAAGCACTCAAAGAATAGAAGAAAAGTATCAGACTACCACGTAAGATCACTTGGGTCATACCACCTCTGTCAACTTCCGTGAGATGGGATCACCTGGGTCACACACACACAACTTCGCCGTGTTGGGGTTCCCGGCCGGTGTTGCCAATGGAGAGTCCAAATGAGCTGGCGCAAAAAGGTGCGAGCTTCGGAATTTTGCCACAGATCTTAGGCTGGTAGAAGAGGTATTTCTACACAAACTCACCAATAGATGAATGTATATACATAATACAATACATTTAGTGGTGTGTATATTATGTGATGCTGCCTCCTCTCTGAGAACTGACCTCTTCGCTTCTTGGGTTGTGTGAATCTACCAACGACTACAGTATGGTTATGGACCCGCCATAACCGGTGGGGTCCAAAACCCTTGGGATGAACATAGGCGAAGTTGAGAGAGACGGCCCGAATACGAAGGGAAAGGTGGAAAGACAGTCTTTTTCTAATTTTAAGGCAAGGCCTTTCATCAGGGCTCCCCTTCCATTAAATATACTTGAAAAGGCCTCTACCAAGACATGTTGGATAGTCAAGGGCCAAATTCTATGATTTCCAGGGCAAAGCTGGCGAATCGATTCAGTGGTGGAACCGCTCGGGCCAACAATGAAGAAGGGGATCATTAGAGCATACCAAAAGCGTTTGTCAAAGCAATGCTATTGGCAGGGCACTGCATTCAAATTGAAATGTATTTGTACCGGGCTTGTACGGTCATCCAGCTATTCATGGGAAGTGCCTTTGGTGGCCTGCGTCGGACGGTCGATACCAAGACGGAAGACTGGGGGGCAGTTGATACAGGACACGGGTTCAATGATGTCCTTGTTGGAAGAACAGAATAGAAGAGGGGTCAGGTAGGTTTCATATACCAATTGGTTGTACACTTGGGGTATTAATCAAGCAACCAATAGTAAAAGGCATATGACCGGGTTTGTGTGTGTCAGGGGTGTGGCCAAACTTCTCATCAGTATGTGTCTCCTTGCACAACTACTGGCAGCCACGGAAAATGTTAGCTGGTTGAGTTCGGAACAATTGACATCTGCACCCCACCGTCCACTGTCTCTCAAGTGCATCTGGAGTACTGATGGTGCCCTGGGTTGCCAAAAAGGCCTGCAAGAACGAAAGTCAAGGATGGTAAATGAAATGCTCTACATCAAATCGTGAGATGACTATTGTGAGCAAAAGACTTCACATGCTCGATCTCTCTTGAACTGGTGCGTGTTGCCAAAGCTGACACTTGAGAGGCACACGACCTAATTATATACACAAGATTAAGAAAAGAACACTTCCAAGATTGGACCTAACAATCAAATCATTTAATTTCCACGCCGGGCCGTTGGGATTGGTGAAGGCTGCCTTCCCACGTCCAGAAGAAACTTATACTATAAAGTAGTTACATTCCTGCCATCAGCACAGCACCTGCCTGAAACAACCTACAGTACCATGAAAAAAGTCTCCTCTTGCCACTAAACAACTCCTGGCTGAAACTTCGACGTGGATCGATTTGACGACGTAAACTTGAAGCAAACAACAACACACATATACACAGATGTCACATACACAAATCAAACACACACACACACACAAGATGTTTCCCCACAAAACCGCCCATCTCCGGATTTGAGGAGATGCATTCTTGTCCACTCGTGACGACCCCCAATCACTTCGCCTGGAAAGCTGAGGGAGCTGCCTGGAAAGCGGCCGAACCGGGTGCGTGGAGACGGGGAGGGGGGGGGCGTCTTCTTGCGCAGAGCCTCGGTTCCCTTCCTTTCGCAAGACGGATGTGAAGGAAAGCGAGACGAGACGCGCGACTCGGCGACTCGGACACTGCTCCAATGCTTCGAGTGGCAGTGGAACAGTGGAATAGACTATAATAAACATACACAATCATATTATGTGCTTTGGCACATTCAGGGAAGAGGCTTGACAAGCTCATACATACATTTAAGATCATTTAAGCCTTGCCGATCATTTGTTGGCCAGGTTGGAGCCTCAACTCTTGGCAAGGGTGCTACTTTCCACCTGTTTCTTCGCATTCTATTTTGGGGAGGGCTTCAAATGAAACACCACAGCTGAAGGATGCGAAAGGTTCTTGAAATTCAGTGTCCAGTGACCATAACCCAAACGGATCACAGGCCCTTGTCGCCGGTTGTCCCAGTTGTCCCAGTTCCGACATCGGAGGGCAGCCGGGCGCCTCCTCTGCATCCGTTTTTTCCAGCTTCTTTTTTGGCCGCGCCCTAGGGGTCGGAAGCAGGTCCAGCTTTCGCTTTCGCAAAAAGCCTACGCAACCACGGCTGCATACAGCCATTGGTTGGTTTCCAGGTGTTTTGTTCTGGTTAGAACTGGGTTACTTGATATTACTTTCTACATAGGCCGAAGCGCAAGGTGTTGTTTTCATCAACAAACCCAACAAAATCCAACAAAGGTTCCTAGGCTGGTATTGCCCCAAAGTTAATATTTGACATAGTGACACCCACGTCAGCCAAAATCGTGCATCACGGCTGCCACATCACTCTACTTTCACAGAAGGCTACGGAAGTGGCTACGGACTGTTACAACAAAGAAAACCTTTGTATCTTTGTTTCGCAGCTGCATGCTGCAGTGCCCTGCTACGATCTAAGCTCCATGCCGCCTTGTCGCGCGCTGCTCCGATGCCTCCTGGAGCCAGGGAATAGGCTGCTGTCTCACTGTGGCAAGCTGCAAGAAAAGGAAACCTCCCAAGACTTAGAGGAAGTCGGCGTGCTGATTCAAGCCACTACAAGTAGCTAATGGGCCAAGAACCTAGCAGTTATATACTTGTAGCAGCTCTGGCAACCAGCGCTCAGTGTGGTTCGAAGTGCCTGATCGAAGCACTTTTCAGAGTACGCTGAGACTGGGGGGGAAGGTTTAATGATCAGAAGGATCGAAAGGTTCGAAAGGAATGGAATCATTGTTTCTTGGTCATGATCCCTCAACAGCCTTGGGCCACAGTCATTGACTTGAGGAATGGAACCACATCCTTGAACCCTTGGTCAACATGGACTCATGGATCTACCCGAATCTACCCCATGGAAGGTTCCCGGCTGAGACCAATTCTTGTTTCGCTGGAGTATCAATTCAGTCTCAATTTCTCAGGTCTATGCAATGAAAACTTGAAAACTAGAGGCACGAGTGGATCAGAAATCTTGTGTCTGAGGTACCAGGTTACCAGGTTGGCTACCAAACTAAAGCTGCAGAGAGGAATATGGGATCTGCCAGGGTTCAGTCCGACGTCTCCTCCAAGCCCGTGAGGAATAGACCGCTGCCAGGCGAAGTATGTCCCTGCGGGCACGTGGCACTGTTCATCGTTAAGTTGGGATGTCACATGGCGGCTATAGCCCTAATTTAAAATGTGGTACCATCTACATCCCTGGGCAGAAAGTAGTCCAAAAACTGCTTTGTAGCCTCTCTTGTTTAGATACTCATCAATTCCTGGGTTGAAATGCCGCTCACAGTACCTTGGCTGTGGCTCTACCATCTTCCAAAAGCGAACGAGGGAGCTTTCAGTGGTTAAGGGGAGCATCCGTTCCTTTCACCTACTTGGCATCCCGCCACAAAAAGCACATGATTCTCGGACATTCAACCCTAAGATGGGTCCAAAAGAGAGGCATGGACTGAACATGTTTGAACAGGCACTGCGTACTTTTCAGTTGCAGTTCAGATTTTCAGCACCCGCCTTGGGAGTCTGAGTAGCGCCGCCGGACCTCGAATGCTGGGGTGGAAAGCTCTTTTGATCTCTTTTGTAGACCCGACGTGCCGAATCGCCAGTTGGCCAAATCAGATTTAATCCGGACTCTTTGTCAGGGAGAAGGGCACCAAATGGGAACCAGGGACCAAGTACGCACATGACATCGCGGCGTCTGCTTTGTTGCCTGGCAGTCCAAGGCCAAGTCACAAAGGTGACGAAACCAAACCTTGACCCCTACGCTGGTGTGAAGATTTTCTGTGCCAAATGGCTCTGAAGCATATCATATCATCTAGAAACTACAACAAAGTTTCACAAAGTCAAAAGGCCACCATAGACTTTGAACATCTTAGAACGCCCATGGCTTAAAGATGCTTAAAGTATCTGAAAGTGGTGTTTTGGAACGAGTTCGATCTCTTTCTGCCGCTTTTTCTCCTCACCCAAGGCACTCTTCCTCCTGTCTCATCTTTCGCATCAGCTGGATCAGCTTCTCCTGTACACAATCAAATGGAGCATCAAGTCATGGTCTCTAGTGGATTTCTTGAGAATCATAATATTTCTGTGGCAAATCCCAAAGAAAATCTGTGGTTCCCAGAGATCCACACTCTGAACAAGAAACTGCTGGTTTTAATGATGTATGCTGCATGCTGCAGAAACATATTCGTAACAAAGATTTAAAAAGTATGAAATCGTGACTGATCACGACTGATTCAACCCATCTCAAAACCTGAGAGATTCAGTCACGCAGTCTAGTCCTATCAATCCCCCTGATTCATCCCGCATGTCGATCCGCTTTGCCGGCAACTTGCTCTCGCAACGGTCTCCGTGCACCTTGGTGGAGGCATCGTCTGGCTCACGCATGAAGGAGTTCGGTTCCTCCACCGGCTCTTCAAACCTGCCGATGTTAGCGACAGTAGCAGTAGCCCTTTGGCTGGCACGGGGTTGGCTTGGCTTGCAGTATCACCCTTCCAGCTGAAACAGGATCAAACTGATCGACGCATCATCAAGCACTGGCACAGTGATCGCCGTCGTTGCCAAACCAAACGGCTTCATGGGCAATGATACAGTCAAGAGAAGGGCAACATGTTTCATTACAATCCCCGTTGTAAATGAACACATGTCTGCACCATAGTCCCCCAAGATCTCGTGTTCACCAGCATCCATTCGCACGATATGCTCAGGACACCCTGGCCAATCAGTATATCAGTCCTGTAGCTGTGCCTCTGTTCGATGGTCTTCCTGCGATCTTTGAAGATCTGCTCCAATTCTGCTTCAGTGAGGTCGTCACTGAGAATGCCTGGAGTGGCACGAAACAATGCCATGAAGAATGCAATTTCGCGCATTCGACTGATCGCTGCTGCTGGCTTGAATACTTGGCATACCAATGTGTGCTATAAAATCCATGAGAATTTAAAATTGCTATGTGTGGCTTTGGAAAGTCAAGTCTAAACTATCAGATCTGCAAACCTCGATGCAGTGATGCAAGTGCATTTTTCTCCCAACCACTTCGTGCCCTCTGCTGAAAACATTGATGCACCAGATGTTGTTCCTAGTTTCCCTTCCTCTTAAGAGAGTTCCTTAATCCTCAATCATGGTGCACTGGAAAGTGTTGGCAAAACTTGAACATTCGCAGCCTTGACCAAAGCCTCATGGGCAATCGACATGGCTGACGATCTCTCTGGAAAATGAGAAATTCGACCGTTCGACCATATCCAAAATATATACGCTTGCGGGGGTTCCTGAAGGTCCAGGTTTTGATTATTCAGATCCAACAAGGATTAACATGGTGTGAAACAATGTTAAACATGAGCAATTGGCCTGCACTTCCATTTCCAAAGCACTCTCAGTGCAGATCTTGACCCCCTCTTCATCTCTTTCCCTTCCGGGCGCCTTGAGACATGCCTGATTTCAACGCATGTCTGATGCACGGAAGTAGAGCTGGGCATGTCTTAGCCCAGAGGGGTTCAGGGAAAAGCGAACTTGCGTCTTGAATCGTGTGTTCCTTCCATGGCAATATATAAGCAAGATGTTATGGCATGTTTCCAGTTCCCAAAGAGCCAACTCGCACCTCCTAGGAGGGTGTGATGATGTTGCTTCGGGATAATTTGGGTGATTCTTCCGCCTAATAAGTTGCGTTCCCTAAAAAGGCCCCCATATCGCCAAGTAACTAGGTGTTCCAACTTTGGGAGAGAGAAAGCACCCCGGAACAACATGCCCAGTTTCGCGGCCCCCGAGACAGACCGGTTTGAAGGTGTTCTTGAAACAAACAGATCAACATGGTCTGCATCAAAGTGCCAACATTGATGTTCAGGCTGGCCCGAAGAAGGCATGACAAGCACCTCCAATCCTTCTGTTGCTCATGTCTACTATGATGAGGTAGTCTCCATGAGGTCGCCGCCATCGATCGAGATGGGTCATTGGCATAGCTTGACATGTCTTCAACATGAAGAAACTCTAGAGTGCAAAGCACTTGATTGCGTCAAACATTTTGTACCTGCAGGTTCTGCTTTTCCAGGAGCTGAGGGGACTGCCCGCGCCTCAGCCACTCAGGTTGAAAACTGCTAGTGAAATCTCAGGTTGGCCAATTAGGAAATAAAGCTATAGATGGTTTCAGTTTCAACCTGCAGGCAACCAATGTGAAAGATGTTGCCAAGTCCGAAATATGACTTAATCAGAACTGTTGTTAAGGAAAACTGGAATTCCAATGCAGCTGGACAAAACAAATAGAGATCTGGACGCCTGGACGCACAAGTCAAAGTTGAATGTTGCAAATTGGATGAAGCATTGGAAGCATTGTACATTGTACTATAGATCCAACTCTGCAATTGTGTTTCATCTGCTGACTACGACGAAGGCAAACACAAAGTCTGAACAGTAAAACAACATGGAAAAAACAAAAACAAACAAACTACAAGAGTTGTCATATGTTTTGCTACTTTGTGGGCTGTAGCGAACAACCGATGGCCGCAGCTCCCTCAAGGATAGCACGTTCATCTCCATGATGTCGCCTGGATCAATGATGCAAGGAAACAATGATGAAGCCACAGGCGCGCTGCTGACTGAACATGGGATCTGCTCATTCTTGGTAGGGATAACTACTGGTACATCACCCCAAACACAACTACCGCTGGGTCTTCAGCCTTTCTCCAAGGAGCATCAGTTCTTTAGTTCTTTGTTGTGAATCCTCAGTCCTCTTGTTGCTGACAGGTTACGACATCGGTAATTGTAGGCATATGTTACCCCATGTTACCCCTATTCGTTTGAATAGAGGTATTGCTGACGTTATCCGAATAAACACAAGGTAGCTAAGAACGCATCGGCTCTACAAGGAAAAGCTCCGGCTTTTGCTTAGCAATGTTAGTTTCACAACTTCCAAGGGCCGCAAAACAATCACGAAACATGCTCTTGCATCATTTGTTCTTCTAACTTCTTGTCAATCTCAACTCTTGATACTGTATATAATTACGCAGTATCATGTTCAGCACATCATATCTTTGGAATTGAATTTTCGGCATCACACAATTCAGCTCCCAAGGACTTGACCAATCCAGCCTGATAGCTTTACCACCAGTGCGTTGGTTTCTTCATCCAGCTGTCCCAGCTGACTCCTCAGCACGACTGGCGTGTAGCTACCACTCTTCACAGTACTACTCAAGTTTGTTTGCCAACCTGCATGTTCGGTTGGCAATAAAATGCTCAGTACCAGGGTGGTGTGAGCCATACACAGGCACAACGGCTCCACAGCGGCAGGTCACATGAAAGCCAAAAAAGCATATGATCAAAATGAATCAAACACAACAAACTGAAAAACAAACTATATATAGACAAAGTTGGCACCTTGCGGCATCTTAGGTCCATGCATGCTCCGAGGTCGGTTGAAGGTTCCGAACTGCTTCATGTTGCTGACCTTACGCATCTTGCGACCTGAGAAGAGCCGAGTCCCGCGATGAACGCTCCAAACAAATGACTCCGAATGGTCTTGGCATCGAGCTGCTGTAAGGGTATGGAAAAGAGGTGGCACTCTCTCAGACCCTGTCTTCGGACGTATAGTAAGCTGCAACTTTATGCAATTTGATAAATAAATGCTTGGATGATGCTGGGATGTTGGTTAGATCATGTTACTGTATATAGATCCCTTCCCAGACTTTCCATGACTTTACTACAGAAAGAAAGTCATGTTGACCAGCTAAAGTGCAGTGCAGTGCAAACGAGAACAAGGAGACTGCCCTGCACTGCGTGAGTCCATCTTCCCAAGCGCACCAGGTGCTGTCGTTGAGTCGTGCGTCGAGTCGGACCGAGAGACCATCCATCTTCAGCTTGGGCTTTGGGATCTTCTCCAACTTGGCAAAGGCGCCGTTCCCTTTCATGTAAAAGGGCTTTATCTCCTGGCAGTTTGAGTCAGGATGGGTTGTAAATCGTGAAGTTCCACCGATTTCTTGAAGCTAATTGAAGGACCATCATGGACTTATCTCATAAAGCACTGAGCACTTGAAATAATACTGTAGACTATACTTGGTCCATGCATGTGTTTGCACCAATACACGTTCTTCATCTTTCTTCCAGTGCTTCACTCGCTCATTCTATTACTACATGTTTTCGGTTGTCGCAACGCTGGCACCGGTATTGCACCTCACGCACGACTTCCACGTTGGAGAAGTCCGCAGGGCTACGGCTACATGGGTTCTCTGTGAGGTGCAAGACCTTCCTGAGGCCGCCCAAAGAAGGTGTGAAAACCCAACTTCAACACCCGAGTGCACTTAGCAGCCCCGCTTTGGAACATGTTTTTGTTTTCCTAAGCGCAGCTGCTGACCACTCTTTGGCACTTTGGTATATGGCTACTGACCTGTCCTGGGCTTGGTCTTCTGGCAAGGTGACTCATGTATCCTTTCTGAGGCAACAATGAACACGGTAATTATGCCCCAACAGGACACACGCACACACACACACACACCTACACACAGAAAGCTACAATGAGTGCATCCCGCAAATTCTAACCTACAATCAACTCAGGGAAACTGCTGATCTCTTTGCCTCGGATCTCCACAACCTTCGTGGCTTCATTCGTGGACAAACATGTCTAGCAACATGCAAAGGTCGTTGGTAGTAAAATAGACAGAAATATCATTCCCAGCTTTGGGAATCGCTTCGACACATTTGCAGAGGACTTTATGGTGTTGTATTTGTTTGTCAAATCATATGCAACTGGAACTGGTGGAGTAATCACCCAGCTTGTGCAATTCTTACTTTCAAAAAGTGCCTTTTGGAACCAAGTTTGCACACTGTGCGCCTCAATGCACCTTTTGAACTACAAGTACTTGTGCTATTGAGTTCATCTACAGGATGAGAGGATGTCTACTGTCTACTCTGTAAAGTCTCGATCGGCCAGATCTCGCCTCGGATGGATTGATCATCAATTGATCGAAGACGAAAAGCTTTGCCAAGCTTCAAGCTTTGGAACCACTGGATCACAGGCAGGCTAGAGACGCCTGGCGACACGATGTCTTCGGAGCAGGGTCTCCACAGCGTGTTGTGTTTTTTCTCGAAAGCACCAACGTGGTCGACACTCCCAGGAAAAGGTTCCATGGAAGTGGATGACACCACCTGTTTGGCATTCGGATTTCAGGGGCATCCAGACCATGCCAGCCACGTAACCATGAGTGTTTCAGGGAGTGCAACAACTATGGAGTAGATGTATGTTCCTTCTATGCAGGTTGTATCTTGACAGCTTCTGGCTGAGAAACTGGACTTGAATTAGGCCTGCCAATCCTGCCATTGCTTTTTGGATTCCACCGGACACCTACTGTATCTTGACAACCCATTTATGACAGGATGCTGGCTGGAACAACTGGAATGGCCTCATGCAACCCTAGAAGTGCTAACACTTCAAGTGCGAATGTGAAGTTCATGTTCCTTTGCATGTGGGGTTACTCAAATTGTGGAGAAAGGACGTGGTAGAAGCACCGGACCAGGGTGTCTAGAGTGTCTAGAAGTTCAATGTAAAACGTGATGTTGCTGGGAGGGTTTCCTACATTCAAGTATACAGCGAGTTGGGTACGGCAGGCTTTGTACGACATACATACATGTTCATGCTCCAAGCAATCACAGCCTGTGATCTCGTTGTAGGAAAGGTCCAACCTGAGACCATTGGGGCAAAGTTGTTCCCAAAAGAAAGACACTTTTCCACGGTGGTCCCTGGTTCGTTGGGAAGTCAAAGAATCTTAGGTTGACCTAGGAACAAAGTTGCAAAACAATGTGTATAAGTCCTAAAGACACAACATACGCAGCAATTATTGAGATAACTCAATGCCAAAGCCTGCAACGGCACTGGGCCAAACTGCAATGGGCTTTCCAGTGCATGGCATCCGGTCATCCGATGTCGGCTGTGTTTCTTTGGATGCTGACATTGCTCAACAGTGTTTTCTTCAGGGGCCTGTTTGGAGTTGAGTTGAACCTCATACCCCTTCTTCATTGCACACACACATGCACACAGTGAGCTAAAGGTGCCAATATGTACCAATGACAAACTCCCCACAGAACTACAAGGGAACACACATTAACATGTGTAATCGTGTTATGTGTTGAAACATGGAAACATTGAAAACATTCCTTTCCAACCCGCTTCAACATCCTTCATCGGCCCAGGTTTATGGTTTTATTCTTGGGGAATGCCTACGCAAGTTTTAGTCCTCCTCAACATGTCCAGAGGAGTACTATAAGGTGGAACAGCACATGGGCGTAAGCTGCATCGTCCTTGCAATCCATCCAACACCCTCCACTACGGAAGAATCTCCAAATGTGATCATGTGATCTGCATTCAAATGTAAGCTGCATTCTTTTGCCCCTACGGCAACGAGGGGCTCTTCAAGGGTCGGAAAGTACGAGATGGTGGTGCCACTGGCTGTGTCCGGCGCATCATCCTGCGAGCGCCCGTGTCATTGGACGCATGGTAGGTACTTGCTTAGCTGGCGGTCTCAAACCACCAACAGCTTGACAGTCAAAAAATGGTTTGTACTTGATGTTTTATAATATGTGATAGTCCAATGGTCATCCACATTGGACACATCCGGCATTCGTCACCGGCGGCCGCGGAAAAACACCGAACACTGATGCTTGATTCCGATGTCATGTCGCCATGGCGCTTGCAGTGAAAAAAGCAAAAGAAACTCCACAGAATGTCTGTGGTTGGTTTGCTGGGTGACTCTTTCTTGGAGTTGCGATGTCATGTTTGTCCGCACGGGCTCCTTGAGACGCTTCACGCGATTGGAGACCAAGGACAACTTCCTCGGCGATGCACAAAAGTGATCTTCCTAAGATGGGAGTTCAAAATGCCCAACATCTGTAATACATATCCATATATATATACATATAGAACTCACAGCGGGGCTTTTTCAGTCAGGCCAAGGAGTCGGGTCGAAACCCTGCGCGCCAAGGCTCCGCAGCTGTGGTACTGCATCGAGCGACCGCCTTGGATAGCCCGCAGTCGTCAAAAAAAAGCAAACAAACTGGCGAGAATGACTTCAGCGTGGGAGAATATTGGGAGAATGATATGTCTGAGATGGAGAGATTGGCCCATGGATGCCCATGGGATTGTTGGCTATTGTTGTGTGCTTGAACATGTATGCATTTAAAGCCGGAGGGAGTAGTGTAGGCAATATGTGTCCGCAAGATGATTCACACATATACGTCCAAACAGGTGGGCAGTCTCGTCATTAAATCATAACTCTGGTTCAACAGTGCAAGAACTTTACATTGAGCGAATTACAAACTAAACTACTTGGCTCCATCAATCTGTTGGAGTAATCAAATGTGTGAGTCATCAACCGGGTGAGCAAGGATGCATTTGTCTTGAGACAAAATAGACAGCATGCACACAAAAAAAAAGGCATCAATGAAAGCCCGGCGTTGCATGGTAAAGTTCCGCAATTGTCCATAGCTACACAAAACCCTTGTCCACCCAACATGCCCATTGAGCATCCACAACAATAAAGAGCACTCGCGTTCCCTTCGGTGGTCCGACGGTGGACCGGTCTGGGTGGCCGCACCATTGCATGAATTGCACCAGGTCATTGGAGTCCAAGATCAGCTCCTGCAAGACCTGCACAAGTTGTGACAGGAAGTTGTCGCAGTGTGGCGGTCTTCATAGAGATCTTTAACGTCTTCAGAGATCTGCCATAATTAGTTGTCAAAGTGACCAAGAAACGTCAATCCTCGAGATGCTCTCGGTTTCGGTACCTGAACATGTGTCGCCCTGATCTTCGCTCCGCATGGCTCTGCTCTTCTCGTTCTGCTCCGTTCCCTCATGCCTGCAAGCCGGAGAGCTCTTCCTCCGGCGGCAGCGAAGAGATGCAATTCGAGGCCAGGTTCAGCCAGACCAAGTTGGGAAGCCTGGAAGAAACGGGCGTGATCGGAAAACGGACAAAGCGGGCGAAACGGCGAAAGCGGGGAAAACGTAGACAGGGTGGGTGAGAAAAGGGGGCCCTTTTTGTGGGTGGTATCAAGGGGTAGGTGATGGTAAGTGGATGAGAGATGACTGCAATAATTAAATGCGATCGTGTCTCGGAGTACAACTTGAGCATCTTTCAAGCAACTTTGGACGGAATCGTCATGCTATGCTCGTGAAATCATGTGAATATAATATATATATATAGGGCAGTAAAATATACAAATCATAAATAAAAACACATATATATATATATATGATATTATATATGATATAAATAAACATATGCAAGCTGGTTTTCGTCTGTCCAATTCTGCTCCGAACGGCCTGGCCAGCTGCCCTAAGACGTCTCCATGCAGTCCGTTGAAGGAGAGGTCCAAGACCTGGACGTCCGGCAGCGTTCGTGTCCCCCAAGCAAAACATGGAAGATTATGTTATGACTCACCCCACCAAACGCATCTGACATGTGGTCAGGGTCGGGACAGGAGAAGGGACTTGAGAGGAACATTACCCATCATTGAATTTAGAGCAGAAGGGTCTACAGTAGAAACGTGCGCATTTTATCCCTTGGGCCAATCAACCTTGTGGCTTACTGATGCTACTTCCTGTTACCATCCCCTTCAAAGAGTCCCAAGGTGAGTCAGAAGCTAATCACTGGTTTTGGTGTCGGAATCATGTTGGTCCCAATCATCTGCCAGGTGTACTATATATAATAGTACTAGTACTATCTCTAATCACATGTCGAGTTTAGGATAGTTCAGGTATCCAACACTGATGAAGCATTCATCCTCCAACTTAAGAAGCCACAAAAACAACTTATCGCCCGCCTCCAGAAACTGCAGAATGCCATGGCCAACCTGAGAGCTTACGGTTCGTCACAACAAATTGCGGGGGCCTCACCGTCCACTGTGAGATCAAAGCCACATTGCACTTCCTTCCAATGTACTTATATATATATATTATATCAAAGACCAAGCGTTCATAAGCAGCCGGTAAACCCAATTTTGAACTCAATCTTCAACAGCGTTTTGGGAGAGAGCAACAAACATGGGGTCATCACTGCTGTGATGAGATAGCTGTAAGAAAGCTATGGTGTGGATTTGGTGCAGTCAGTGCAGTAAGTCCCTTGAGGATCTGCAACACACCAGGCAAAGCCCAACACTTTCACATATGGGTGTGTATTGTAATAGGGAGACCCCCTGGCCCGGTAGACTGGTCTAATTTCATTTCTTGCAGGGGTTTCTCTAGTTATATAATACAAACCCATAGATACTTTGACTGTGCTCTCCGGGGGGCTCCTCCTCTGCCCGTGTTGACGCCTGCAGGCTGCTGATGGAGTTGCCTGCAGACGGTCCACTGAAAGGCGTTCGGCAAACTTTTCCTACTTGGCCTGTCATCTCCCACCCCGTGGGGCCATCTATGCGTGCAAAGAGAACACCGAACAACACATCAATCCTTGCTACAAAGCATCGAAGCAACCTGCATTATGGCGAGTACATCAATAGTTGCAGTATATATATATATAATAGCTTAATCATAAATATCACCCAGGATTTCTAGCTGCTTTGATCCAAGCTGCATGCCAGATTCAGCGTGCCCAGCCGTGGAATCCGTGCGATCTGCTCCAAAAGGTGCTCGTAACCTCACAGGTGGAGGGTCCACACGTCCCACGACAAGCGAGCTGAAGCAACAGGGCGGCCCGTTGCTTTTAAGTTGGAGGCCATCGCTAGTAGGATCAGGTCCTGAGTAGATCTCCATTTGTGAGCAGCTCGCCCGGCGGATCAAAAAAAAGAAGCCTTGTGTGGACCGAAAGAATGTATTGGACAAGCATCTTCCGGGTCCGAAAACAACCCAAAAGGCTACCTGCTACCGATCACCATGACGGAATCTTATATTTTGGAATCCCGCCCACCTCCGCAACTTTCATGCCTACCCTTGCGCCCCCCAAAGCCCACAAATGCTTAGGGAATAGAAAAGACTTTGAATATTATTTTGACCTGGTTATCAAAACTAGAACTTGTGGGATATTGTGGGCCACTTTTGTACATCTCTTTAGATCTTTTGTACTGGGCCACTCCTTTTCCTTCGTAAGCCCTCGCCTAGTTGGTTGTCGCTCAGGTCCACTCGATGGAGTTGAGCGAAGAAGGCCAAGTCCTGCGAAGAAGACCGATGCCAAGTTCGTCCAAGTCCAAGCGGAATCAGTTGTGTCCGTCCGTCCGTCCAGTCCGTCCTGGAAGACCCAACAGGGAAGACTCACTTGGACACTTCGACCCGATGCAAAACATGGCAAAACTCGGCAGTGGAACTGAACTCGGACATATTTCAAATAGAAGCTGGAATGTGACTGAAATATATCCAATCTACTGTACCTCAACAATGCAGCCTGTGATATGAGTGTGTGTGTGTGTGTCTGTGTGTCACAGTGGGCGAATCTACTCGCCTCTCTTTTTGAACAGTACCAGGACCATTGCTTTGTGGGAGTGCACGGTCTACAGTGGTTATTCTATGCCAGGCCAGTACGAGATCCAATGTCAAACGATGTCAAATGCGTTCGCTTGCAACATGATCTGACAGACCGACATCGCATTGTGATTCCGAGAGCGAATAAAGGCGACTGATGTCGCGCATGTGCTGTGACTGTGTGCGGCCTTGTGTTAGCACCAAGAAAGCAATGGCTCGGCCGTGCAAATAAATGCGGTGACACTTGACATGAGTAGTCGTCAGCTACCAACACCATCACATGAATGAACGCATGCCCCAAAACCAAATGCCCTAGCATTGCATGGGCTTGCAGTGCCTCTACACATGATTCAATGCGTGCTACTGGCTACTGCACAGGCGCCCTGCCAGGGTGTAATGGTTTGTCTCCCACCTCCTCAGCTATATCGACAATCTGCAAGGAGGAGAGGTTCACAGTAATCACCTCACAGGCCCGGGTCGGAGCAGAAATACAGAAATCAAGGCATCTTCACCAAATGCAACGGATATTTCCCTGCAACGAAAACACACACAACACTTGAAGGCTAATGTTGCCAGCAACACATGTTTGATAAATCCAAACGACCCGGATGTGGGTACATGTACTGTCTGGTTGGTGACTACCCGGCTACCCACTCTTGGGTCATTCTGCAACAAGCTGGCAAAACAAAGACACGCACCTCATCGGGTGTATTGGATCCACCAGCCGCCAACAACAGAAAGCCGTCCAGGAGCCTTGGCGCTTTGGGCGCTCGTCGCATCATCACATCATGGAGTGGTGCAGCCGTCGGAAATCATGGTGCCACGGTCGGGAGAGGCTTCTTTTGGTTTCAATTGTTACCAGACTTAGCCACAGGAAGGCGCGCACTCCGCGTGTCACCTTGAACCTTCCCGCCATTGCAAACGGCAAACACCAACAAACACCACCCCCCTCAAAAGTCCCTAAACCTGCCCCTAAGCCTCCAGACCTGCCCTCGATGTAATTGTTCTCCGCCATTGGCTCAAATGGGCGACATCCGTCCCCGGCTTGTTCGCCGGCGGCGTGGCGTGGGCAGGTCAGGTCGATCGCACCGGGGTGGTTGCGACGGGTCGGGTATAGATCTTCCTTCTTTCACAGGGAGATCCTGGGATCTGACTTGGGCCAAAGGGATATCATAGGAACTGGGATTCCTCGTTGGAGGAATGATTTACGATGCAAGTCCTCCCTGTTTCCCCAAGAAAGCCGTTCAGAACTGATTCAAACAAAGCTGTCGGATTGGGACATATTCAAATCTGCACATCTAGCTCCTGCCTGCTGTGCAGGGTGAAACCTCTCTTAATGCTCGCAAGCCCAAGCAAAACAAGGAGGCAGGGCGGCAGGATCCAAAACTCTAAAAAGAGGAACCACCTAGATCCTCTCTTCATCTCACTGCATGAAGACAGATGGTGAAACTCATGGTGATCTTTCAAACATCTTAAAGCCCCGTGGTCTTCGTTGCTTGTGAATGCCTTGAGGATTGCTGATGGTCTAGCTTTAACTTTGGAATGGTCCAAATACAATACACAACCACATATATGTGTATATATATAATGGATGCAAATAGGGCATATCCAACAGCCTACTTGTCAAGTCCACTTCGTCCACACTATATCAAAGTTTCCGCGATTGCAGCCATGTGCACGATTTCAAGGGCCAATGTCGTTGAAGAAACAACTCTATATTACTCTCAATATAACTGTAATATAGAGTATCTATATAATTGTATCTATGAATTTCATCATTTCACTGTAGCCAGGTTCCTTTGTCTCGATGCCTGTCAGTCGATCACCCCACCGTCACCCTGGCAGCCGTGCGAAACAACGACTCAGTCGGTGGAGGTCCTATGGGTCCAACATGGTCCAACTACGTAGGAGCGGCCCCAACTGAACCTCCCGTCACACCGGAGAGCCATGGAGGTAGTTGAATCCATCTCCGAAAAAACCCTGAGAACTGGAACTGCGCAGTTTGTCGGAATCGCCTGGGTGAAGTGCAGAGATGTAATTCTCGAAGACAGAGTATTGCAGGGTTGCCTGGAATGGCTCCGAGGGGTGCCCAGGTTTCTGGTGCAAGAGCTCAAAGCGTCCATCAAAATGTGAGATTGTCTGAGGTTAATTTGAAGAGACAGATCACTAGACAATCTTCATGCACAGAATGGAGACAATGATCTGTGTAAAAATTTCACCTGTCCAACTTTCGGCCTCCAAGTGCTCCACACAAATTCGCAGTCCAAATCTGTCGACAATTCTTTGTCGATCTTGTTTGGTTGCTTTGGTATACTCCAAGATCCGAAAACTTCGAACTGCCCCATAGACCATTGAACATGGGCCCCACACCGGCACCATCCGGCACCTTTCACCTTCCTCGACAACGTCTTGGCAGACGGCCTTCTTCACCACCTCGGGGTCGGCGGGACGTCCTGCTTCATCTCGCTCCATCCTGCAAGCGTCAAGTTTTGGTCGACCTTGCGATCCACCAGGTCGACATATTACACGGCCAACAAGCAACTTCCTACTTGGCCAACTCTTCCTTTGGCATCCTTGTGGCAGGCAGAAATTCAGAAAGACTCAAAATGGCTCAAATCTGCGCGGTCCTTGATCCCCCAGAGCTAAATGACAGAGCCAACAGCAACTCCCACTTGGTAAAGTTCCTCATAGTAATACTATACAGTAGTTATACAGACCATCCATCTATGGAATAGTTACTTACATCAGTGTCAGAAATTGGCTAAATCATGCTAAATCTATTAACTATTCACGTCCCGTGGATGGCCTGGGGTACTTGACATCATGAGGATTCATCATCTTGGCTTCCCACGTGTCCAAGGTGAAGCGGGTGAGGTAGAAAAAAGGCCTGGTTAGCAACATTACAATTACAAGTGTGCCCCATCATTAGCACGGCAGTAATCTGTAGTAGAGGTCCGCCCTTTGTTGATGTTTCATCCATGTATATTGCATTTGTATATTACAGAACCAAAGATGATGCTGTTGGCCACGAACATATATGCTGTGCAACGCGCGATTTTGCTGGGCCCTCGGCAGCAGGTACTCCCATCAAGCAGCTGCGTGCCTGCCACAGAATATCTGTCTTCATCAACTCATCCAAAGACAGCTGACCAATGAGGATGTGGTACCAGTGTACCCGGTCTTGAGCAGCGAGGCCCCGAGGCAGGTTAGTGTAGCACGAACGGATAAATCGTGGCCAGTGCCCAAGAATGCGGAGTGACGATGGTCATAGGATGTCATATCTTTCTTGGAAGAACACCCAAAGATACCCAAAGTATCCCAAAGTTCAATGACCATGAACTGTACAAACATGGACTTGATGCAGAACCAGGCGATCTCACAAGCGGAGCTTAAGCTTCAAAAAACATCTGAACGATAATTTTAGGTGAACACCAGTACTATTGCTGCACATTGCTGCTCCAGTGTTGGAGTGCTTGGTTGGCTTTGACCCACATCCTTTTCACCGTTGTATAAGTTCACATTTTCCAGCTGTGGGTCGCATACCATCCGACCCGCAGCTGCGGATTCGCTAGTGCTAGCTGGATATTCCAACCTGTTCAAACGCAATGGAGTCACCCAAAGCTGTAACAAACGCGGGGAAAGGGCTGTGGACTGTATTCGTCAAGTTGTGAAAACCCAAACCGGCACGAACAAGCATCTTCAAAGAATGCAACATCAAATGGAAACCCTCAATCACTGGGAAAAATATGTGTGATTGATGTCGATCCCACGCACATCAGTTGTGTGGAAAAGAAGAACGCTTCCCCTAATTGGGCTAGCGGCTAGCTGTGTTCTTCCAATACGGTTTTTAAATGCAAAAGAGCTTTTTCGTTGTTCGGAAGCTGGAATCAGCACAGGCAAGTAGCGTTGCTGTCCTGTGGCACCAAACCTTTGCCTGGGCTTATTCGATTGGACGTCGATGGTGACTGGTGCAATAGCCCAAAGTCTTGGTCGAACTCCACACTGCACAAGTTTTTTGCAACTTGTTGAGCATGGCCTCCTCGTCGTAGCTGCTAGCACTTTTGGTACCTGAGCAGCTACGACGGAGGCAGGGGAAGTCTGCTAGGAAGGGCGCCTGCACGGTAATTACAAAGGAGTTGAAGAAGTCCACAGATATCGATGAGAACACATTGGGAAAACTTTGCTGCCAAGGAAACTCTGAAGGAAGGGGATAGACATAAACATAAACATATAGACGAGCAAAATCCATGAGCAAACTTCACCGGCTCAAATGGATGATGTGAGACAAGAGCCGAGACAATTCGCCGAAGGAAGCTCTTCCAAAATGTCAATGAGTTTCGTGGGAAGGCAACCTGAGGACCCTTGAAAAGCTCTATGTTGGTGAGGGGGCGATTGAATATATCGTCTATGGATAGACTATGACCTCCTTTCCAGCATCTAGAGAACAAACAGAACATCGAGTTGACATCTGGACCACGGTGACCACGGCCGCCCCAAAAGCAAACATCGGATGCAAATCATCTGTAGCGCACTGAGCCGATTCAAGATCTCAAAGACCGCATCCATATTCTCGGGATACCTCGAACGGTGGAGCGTGGAGACCCACGACGGAGCGAATTTCGGATATCCAGCCCATTTGGTTTGAAGTCTAACACTCTTGCTATATAAATATAATATTTAGATACATTTTAGTATACTTGATACATCCTGTGCTTGTTATATATAATCGTAATCATACAGTACTCAAACGATATTCGGCTCTCCAGGTACTCAAAGAATGACTGGAGAGTCGCTCGCTGAACTATCAGATGTATGCTTGAAGGATCTTGGAAGGTATAACGGTATAGTATAGTGTAACTGTAGAAACTGGCCTGGTCAGTCTATTGAAGCTAATTTAGCCCAAATGGTGTGCGATTGGTCGATTGGTGCCACTGTCAAGTTGAAGACCTTGTTTCCATGTTCTTCGAAGTGGGACCCCCGGTGTGACACTTGCAGTGAGACCCGCTGGGACCCCGTGCGGCGTCTCCAGCAGGTGCTGCCGAAAGCGAGGCCAGTCCACTGGCCGATCAACTGGCGACGCCCGTTCTACGAGACCTATCGACCGTCTCACCCCGACACACGCGTGGCCCGGGTTGCGTCTTCCGGGTGGCCCGGGTGTCATGGAATGTTCATGTCAGAAAGACCGACCTGCACGGTATTCAATGCCTAGCTACAGTCGTAGAAAAGCTGCGTTGGGCTTGAGCGACCTGTTCTAAAGCTGTAGTTGTTCATTTAGGTGTCATTCATTTAGGTGACCATACTCCCGAATGAACAATCATGTGGAATCGTCTACTTACTCAGTCCTGAGTCCACTGAGCGCGTTCGCTGTCCTGGCTGTCCTGGCTGTCCCGCACTGCGAAGCCTTCATTGCGAAGATTGGAGCAGTCCAAATATTTCCAGGCAAGACGCTTCTCCTCGGTGCACCAAAGAGTGTTCAGAGGTATCATAGGCATACAGTTGACAGCTGAAGAGGAGGCTCCTATGCCCAAGTCAAACAGGACCACGAGAGAGCGGCCGGTTGAAGATAGTAAAGCCCCGCATTAAGTCCGGGCAGAAAAGAAAGCACCCATCACCGGCTGTCCACACACACCCATGCTTGACAAGTTATGCTCGACCACACTAGCTTCATGGTGTCTCCTGTTCATCTGGATCCACGATGCCTTGCACCAAGCAGGCGGCCACCAGTAATGACGGCCAGTCCTCGAATGCAGGGTTCCGGTCCGGTCTCAAATCTTTGTGTTGGAACCTATCCTGACTTGATGGAATTCGAATGACTTGAGGATGTTTGGTTGAACAGAATACATAATTCCAATCACTTCCAATCACCACTTGGTTGGTTCGGGCCTTTGAGGTGGGTTCAAAATCTTCTCAACTTGCAGCAGTCCAGGATCTTGCTTTGCCTAGTCCCGCACCAAAGTTGGCCCGGAGAACAACCTTTCAGAAACACTTCCAGAAACAGCCGCCCAGGAATCCCTAATCCCTCAAAAACGGCTGAGAGTACACGGTGTCTTTTTGGCTTTCAGGCGATCGGAGATAGGTATGAATTCATTGGCCAATACGGATGTAGCCACGGTAAAACCATGGTTTAAAAAAATGTCTTGATTTGCCATGTGTACTGGCTCTTTCTGAACAAGAACACCGGGTGAAAGGAAAAGAAGACCAAAAGGTTTGGGCAGTCTGCCCATGGACCATGAGAATGACTATTTTTCAGGCCCTATACAGTGCAATGGCCTCTCCGTCGAAAAAGGACACCCTGCCTGCAGCCTCATCAAGGAGCTCCTGACACACAAAGCACATGGAAGGGTTTGGTGAGGCGCAGCAAGCTCGATGAGACTTAGTCAACAAAAAAGCACTTCATCTGCACCTGCACACTGGTGTAATTATAGTATAAACAAAAGAACCAGTTTCGCTTCGCTCCGTGCCCGTTCGCTCCGCCTTTGGCTCCGGCACCATGGCCGACGGTTCCATGCGACGCAAAGAGCAGGCGGTTGGGGACGGGTTCCACGGCGCGAATCGGTTTCGCCTCTGTGCATTGCTCTCCTATAGCCTCTACATTGGTCTCAAAAGTGTGTCGAAAGGCACATGGCACCCAAGGCACTCTCTGTGCATTTTGTGCATGTTGTTGCTCAGAGTTGTTGACCTTGGAGAGAAAAAAACAAAATCAAATCGGTGTTTGTGTGCAAGGATCATCGTGCTTCGCCAAGCTTTTGAGTCTGATTCTGATGTACTTTGATCCTGTTAGTCTTTTGCAAAGACTCAATAGGACACCATTCCCAACCCAAGCTGTCAGTACATAGCTTCCTTTGAGCTGCATAGATATGTTTAACCTTGCTCAACAGTCTATCTCGAAGAAAGCTGGACGATGGGCCAGGATTGTACGCGGCACCATGTGAAACATATCTTAAATCCAGCAAGCTTGGCGCTGTCGGATCATCCATTTTACATGTTGACATCTTCACCGCTTTCCAAATGCACCCACTTGACGGCGATTTCCTATTCTTGTTGGGCATGCAAAAACAGTGCCAGTACAAGATAGGGCAATCCTCCGGCAAGCAGTCTCACAAGCTGCGGTCCGCCACGTATATAGAGTTATTCATATAACTGAACTTACGCAGTGAACGTGAAGGTTGACTTCTCAAGGGGATAGTCTCAGATCATGGATATCCCATTCCTCTTTACAGTGTTTTGGGGGGACGTCAATGTGGTGCAGGATTGCTTCCTATTGTGTCCGTCTTGACACCAGTCCCAATCCAACTTCCTGTGTCCCAGACGTGTCACGCTCCTGGCGTTCCGCGGATGGCTCTGGTGGATTCCAGGGTCAGTCAAACCAGTTTGGCGGCCGTTGGAGGCCATCGCTCTTAGGCCATCGCTAGTAGGGTGGAGGAAGACGACATGGGTTTCATTAGACAAACAAGGATCAGGTGAATCAAGTCGTTCCTCAGCATCCATCTGCATCTCAGGTGATCATGTACAGTGGATGGAGAGATGGCACAATCCCCCAAAGGGGGTTTATATTTACTCCCATCTAAAAGTCATCTTGCGGGTTGTGCCATCTACTCTGAAACCACTGTAATACTGTAACATCGGTCATGTTACGAGTCATGTTAGCTGTCTCTGACCGGATCCGAGTTGTGGCAAATGCAAAAGTGCCAAGAGGTAAGAGGTATTCACGTCCATGGCCTTAACCTGTGCATTGTTGGAAGCACCTCCAATTGAAATTTGGACCCTACATCCTCAAAGCATGAAAGGAAAAAAGATAGAGAGAGAAGATAAAATTCAGTAAACACCATGAGCCAGTGAGGGAGTGAGTGAGTGGGTTTTTGAGTGGGTGTTTCACAGACCTCTGACATTGAAACAGCCCTTCAGAACTTCCGGTTCGCCTTGACAGCTTGCAGTCGACTCAAGGAATCCTGGGCGGGACAGAGAGTGCCAAATACTTTGTCCTAGTACTGTCCTAGTCATGATAGATGGAAAAACTCGTGGTTATGTTAGAGTTGAATTGAACTCTGCCAATTGGTCGAATAATATTGAACACTAAGTTGACATTTAAAAATTTACCGCGTGGTGGAGGGGCTATGCTCGAATCGGAGGTCAAGGGATTCTCATCCCATCCCCGCGCCTTTCTCAGGTCTTCACTTCTTCCCTTATATATAATATATAATATATATATAATATATTATAATATATTATAATATCATATTGGCCAGTTTGCCTGACTTTTGCACATCGCAAAGACAGTTGGTGAAGGAACCATTCAAAAGAAAAAAGGGATCTCCGATAGTTTGGCGGCATATCGTTCTTCCACGTGATCAGTTCGCCAGTTGCTGTAGACGGTTGATTATACAAATTCCCTCTATAATAGAATGGAATTACATCTCCGTATGGGTGGTTATATTTATCAGCAGTCTACATATCCAAATATCCTCAATATATCCTCAAGAAGCTACTAGTAACAAAGGGCATCGCTACTAGGAGCAAGGGCGCTACGAACGTAGCTCCTGGCCTTACTACTAGTAACAAGGACGTTACTATGAACAAGGAAAAACCGCCTCTCCCCACTTTTCCTCCAGTCCTCTAGCTCTGCGATCTGCTGTCGGAGTGCCTCCTGCTCCCGGTGGGAGTCCAACAACCTCGCTGCTCCAAACGGGGGTCATGAGAACATGGCTGGGGCACCCAGGTCCAACCTCCAGCACTGGGGCTACCATCGGACGAAGATGGGCAAAGTCTGAAGGGAAGGGAACAGCGATTTGGTATTTGTTGGAGGATTTGAGCTGATGTTTCACAGCAAGCAAGAGAGGAGCTTGGCCAGCATGGTCAGCATGAATTGATGGACACCTTTGACCCTTCATGTTGATTTTGGACCTTTGACTGTTCAGGATATGCTTTTCACCAGGCCTGCCCTCAAGACCAGCTGCATTTGTGGTGACACCGGTGGCATGCTGTCCAGCATCCCTTCCGTTTTGTAAGCTAAAGTCGACTTGCACGCATATAACTAACACATGTATTCATCGCATTTCATCCTCCCAGCATCCTGGCTTTCCGGAGACAAGACTGCTATAGACATCATGGGGGCAGTCTCCTAGGCCCCGTTTTGGTGATTCACACAAAGCAATTCCCTCTTGCAGAACTATGCACATAAGCTGGGACTATTACAATCTCTTACAAATTGCAACGAGTGGTTTGGACATTTTTGGACGACATGCGAGAACGAATCCGAACTCTTGAGCATTGCTATCTAAATGTCAGCAAGGACGCTACAAACGGGGCTCCTGGGCTTACTACTGGGAGCAAGGAGGCTACTACGAACAAAGGGCATCGCTTCTAGTAACAAGTGCCTTACTACTAGTAACAAGAAGCTAGTAGTAACAGGTGCCACGCTAGTAGTAACACGTGCCTTACTAGTAGTAACAAGAAGCTACTAGTAACAAGTGCCTTAC